CCACGACCTTCCTCCCCCGAAACTATGACTTTTTCTTCCAGGGTCTGAATCTGAGGATGAGATAGTGGAGTTCCTTCTGATCTCCACATGCCCCTTGTGGCCAAACCTTGGCCCCCAGCACCCAGCACCCAGCACTAGAATAATGAACCGGGTGGGGACGTGTGAGGCTCCAGGCAGCAGGCTGGCCTGTCTGCAGGGCTTGCCTGAAGATGCCTAAGGATGGGGGATGCTAAAAATGAAGGGTGACGAAGCTTAAGCCTGAAGGAAAGGAGAAGGGAAGGGAAAGTAAGTGAGCTCATAGGTGACCAGCCTGAGCCCACATCCTGAAATTCAAATTCAATCCTCTGCACAGGAGGTTTGTCATCACTGTCACTCAGCCCGCTTGCATCCACTCCAACTTGTGTTCAGGCTGTTTAAAGTCCGCTCCCGGATTCACCTTGGTGATTGGGCAGCTTACTCAGCCCCCACAGTGTGGGCTGTGGGCCCTGGGCATGGGCCTGCTGAGTAGACAGCCTGCCACCACAACCACAGAGGGTTGAGAGGATTGTATTGGCATCTTCATCCCCCAAAATGAAGAACTCTTCAGTTCAAGGCTCAGGGACCCAGGGGTAAAGAGAGTCCTGGACTAAAAAATGTATTTATGCCAATGATATTCTGGTCAAATAATCCCAAATTCCAGTGTTCTGACTCAGTCAGGAGAAGGGAAAAGGGAGGGGAAGGATCTTCTCGTCTTAAAAACCAGACCTCCAAAGGCTGAAATATTTTTGAGGCCAGATTTTCTCTCTTTTTCTTTCTTTCTTTCTTTCTTTTTTCTTCTCTCTCTTCTCTTCTTCCTCTTCTTCTTCTTCTTCTTTTCTCTCTCTCTCTCTCTCTCTCTCTCTCTCTCTCTCTCTCTCTCTTTCTCTCTCTCTCTATCTCTCTCTCTCGCCCTCCCTACTCCTCATCTATCTATCTCCTGGTCATTGATTTTCCCAGACCTAGGCCCAGGCCAACTCTTGTTTTGTGTAATTTCACCTGCTTCCCAGTCACTCACTAGCCCCCACGCAAAACGGGCCTGAAAATCGGGCCTGAGTACAGAATTGAGTCGGGCTTCCTAGGGATCTCCTGCAGCCCGAGAAAGGCTGCGGATTGGAAGCACAGGCTGCAAGCAGCTGGGACAGCTTTGAGCAGAAGCTCCGGGAAATCTACCCGAAGCAGGGGCACCAGCCAGGTAATCCTGTTTTCATTGGGAGACACCGGCTACCCACCAGGGAGGCCAGAAAAGAGAGCATTTCGCTCTGACCTCGGGCCTTCCCACAGGGGTGTCCTCCATACTCCAAAGGACGGCCGAGGTCGCTGAGGTCCGTTTCATTTTTAAACGTGGAATTATGATTGCTATTAATAAAAATATCTGGCCCAGTAGCCTAGCGGGATGAACCCGCAATAAATGGCTCCGAAGGGCCTCGCCGCCTTTTCCCCACACCAAATGTCCCATTCATCCCTGGTCCTGCTCAGCAACGCCCGTGGCCCCAAGCCCGGCGCGTCGGAGGGCGGGGTGCGTCTGGCGCCCGGCTTTCCTCGAGATGCCAGGCATGGGGAGGGCTAAACCGTGGGAGTCCCAGCCACCCCATCGTGCAGTACCCGCTCCCCCACCCCTTCTGCCCACCGCCTCTGTTTTCTCGTTTGGAAAGAAAAGGAGGTAAAACCCCGTTTTATGGGGGAACGTAATTGCGAGCAGGATGCGCTCTCTTTAGAATCGCGTCCTCCCAAATGCTCCCGCCGTCCCATTACCGGAATGGGGACCATTCGGCTGCTGCAGATAGGACTTTCTCTCCCATTCTTTACTTTTTTATTAGCCAATCAAAGTGCCTTCCGAAAGCTATTTGTGATTTGTGAAAAATAGTATCTTTCAAAATGCTGAGTTGAAGCATCTCGCTCATTGCGCCTAGAATTTATTATTCTAATCTCAACCGTAGAGATGGAATAATGCAGCTATTAAGTTGGGGGGCAAATTCGTTTCTCTGGATTTTTTTTTCCTCTCCACTCCCACATTGCATAAGCCTAGGAAGGTGCGGACCTGCATGAGATCTGGGGTCGGGGGTGGGTGAGAGAGGTGATGAGCGTCCTGAAGAGTTCCTAGGGGGTTTCGGATAGAGGAGTGGGTTTGGTCTCCCCAGTCTTATCTTCCTCAGTTGAGATGCCCCAGTGACTGCTTGCTGGCTGGGAAAGTTACCCCTCCCCAATTAAAGAGAACAGGATAGGTTGTGCCACAGTCTAGAAGTAAAATTTCCGGTGAGCTGCCCGCAGCGCCGTCCCATTCTCCCTGCTGCCCATTGTGAAAAGCTGAGCCAGCGCTTCCTCGTCGTAATTTTTAACTACCTGTTATAAAATTTATGGGTGGGTTTGTAAAAGAAACGAGGTCCCTGCATCTGGCCTAGGGAACAGCTTTGCTTACTGCGGAGGAAGTTTGGGGAAGGCATGAGGTATCCCCGCTCGGTCAGGGTTGAGGCACACAGCTATTGAGATTCCCATGCCAGCTTGATTCGGGACCAAGTGGAGAGCTGCTGGCCTTCAAATCTCCGGCCGGTGGGGAGAGTGACCTGGCTGCAACCCCCTCCCCCGGCAAATAGTCTCTATAGGGGAATTTATTCTGGACTCACCTTCAAAATTAGGGGTCTGGGAAAACAGGCTGCTAGAAATTTTAGCACAGAAGATGGAATTCGGGGCAGTAAAATGTCATTTTTTCAGGCCTCAGTAGTACATCCCAGCTGCACAGACAGTGAATCAGAAAATTTTTCTGAGAAAGGCAGGTAGGTGTGGGCAACGTGACAGGATCCAAAAGGCTTACTGCCTTGCACCCCTCCCCCAGAAGATGAAGTAGAGACCAAGATCTTGGGCTTTAATTTGATTTTTAATTGTAAAAAGATTTCAAGGAAGCCACCATTTGAACTAGAAAGTGAGAAGACCTGATACTAGGGATGGTCTTGGGGGAAAATGTCATTCTCTCTAAGAAAGGAACCCAGGGGATGAGGGTCGTTTTGAGGGTCCTAGAAGTTGCCCCCAATTCTCACCTTTCCTGCTGCACTGCAGGATTGCCCAGTGTGGGTCTAGCCCCCTAGGTTCTTCAGATCACTCCAGGTCAGGTTTGGTTGGGTGGTTGCCAGTGGTCTTCGACTACTGTTCCTGTCTAGGGTGGAGTGGGGGTTTTCAGGGGTACCCCATAGAGAGGATGTTGCTCTCTTCCTTAAAAAAAAAAAAAAAAAAAGTAGGCGTAGGGAATCACCCCTTTCAATCCTTGCAACTCACCAGCCATCACTGCCCCAAGGCCACAAGTCTTTGCAAAGCTTTGAATTCCCCCTGATGCAACCTTAATGCCCCCATTTATTAAGGACAATATTTAAAACTCGGCAAGCCAGGAGAGGCAGCCGGCCCTCGGTGCTTGAAGCTTTCTTTCGTCTGGGCGTCTGCCCTCAGCTCTATCCGCGTTCCTGCAGCAGCCGGGCCCTGGGGAGTAGGCGGTGGGTGGGGGTAGGGGTGGAGTGGGGGTCCAGGGATGCTCCCTCTATGAGAGAATTGGGTAAACATGGCGACCGCGGCGCCCATTTGCACACGCTACACAAATGCATCGCATTCCCGGTTGTTTGCAGAAAATTTACAGCTGAGTAATAAAAGTTTACGATCGACTCACAAGTTGGATTGGCCACAAGAAGTCATGTGGATTCCATCCATGAACGTGAACTTTTTATTGTGGTTTGTCCGTTCCGAGCGCTCCGCAGAACAGTCCTCCCTGTAAGAGCCTAACCATTGCCAGGGAAACCTGCGCTGGGCGCTCCCATCATTAGCAGTATTTTTTTAAATTAATCTGATTAATAATTATTTTACCCCCCTTTTAATTTTTTTTCCTCCCAGGTGGAGTTGCCGAAGCTGGGGGCAGCTGGGAGGGTGAAGATGGGAGGGGAGAGACAGAAGTTGAGAGCATCTCTCTCTCTCTCTCCCTTCCCGACCCTCTGGCCCCCAAGGGGCAGGAGGAATGCAGGAGCTGGAGTTGAGCTAGGGAGCTGCAGAAGCCTCCGCCCCTCCCCTCTCCCAGGCTCTTCCTCCTGTCCCCTTCTTGCAATTCTCCTTAATTTTATTTGGCTTTTTGATGATTATCATTTTTATTTTTGAATTTATATAAAGTATATGTGTGTGTGTGGAGCTAAGACAGGCTCGGCAGCGGCACAGAATGAGGGAAGACGAGACAGAGTGGGAGAGAGAGGCAGAGAGAGAGGGAGAGAGGGAGAGTGACAGCAGCGCTCGGTAAGTGTTTCCTTATTGGTTCAAATATGTAACTAATGGTCCGTAGCTGGGTGGCGGTTTCAAGATAAGGACAGCAGCGGCTTGTCTTGGTTAGAGAGGAGAGAGGGCTGGCAAGAGGGTGGGCGCGTGGGTAATTATGGGGAGGAAAAGTGTGGGGGGCAGAAATGGGGTTAAACTGAAATACTGGTAACTGGTTCTTGGGCGATTGTGTTGTCCTGATGTCACTGGGTGCCAAAATTGGGGGTGGGGGGCAAAGGGACAACACCTGTGGTGCTCAAGCCGGCGGTCGAGGACGCCAGCTCTCTGATGCCCACTGTGTCAGTACCTGTTTATTATAGATCTTCGGCCTCTCGGCTAATGGAACTGGGTCGGAGGGGAACTGGAAGCTCAGACTCCAGGCAGGAAAGAGAACCTAGAGGCTGTGCCCATTGCCCCCTAAGCAAAGTCAGCCCCCCAACCCCCAAACAAACTTTTCAGCGCCCCCTCCCTGTCTGGCATCCCCCTCCCTCCCAGAGAGCGCGACTGCTAGAACTCACACATGCGCACTGTGGGCCCAGGGCCGGGCCGCCGAGCAGGAAGCCGGCGCAGCTAGGCGGGCGGCTGGGCCTGTTAATTGGCAATTAGGGGGGAGGCTGGTGGCTGGTGCGCGTCAGCCGAGAGGAGAGCGTCTGCCCACCCTCTACTCCCGCCCCAACTCGGGCGGATGGAAGGGTGGGAGGTGCCCTGCGTTGGGTGGAGGGTGGAGGGTGGGGGTGGGGGATGCAGTACTCAAAAGCCATCTTGTGTTCGGAGAAAAGAGGCCTACCGGCTTTTCCTTCCCAGGTCCTGCGCCCCTTACCCCCAACCGCGGCCATCCCAATTGGGATGCCTGATGGACCGGGATGCCCGCCCGCCACGCCTGGCTGCTCTGGGCTCGGACCTGCCTCGCCTGGGGCGGAGATGGGAATGGGGAAGGCTCTAGGCTGGGCGGGGACAGGCCCAGTCCTCCAGGCAGGGTATCCTAGGTGCTGTGGAGGCAGTGAGGATTCCGGGGGCTGCTGGCTCAAGGGGTAGGAGCGTCAGCCTCGGGCGGCGGGAGGGTCCTGGGGACTCGATATCTCTAATAATTGGTGCTAATGGTCTGTTGTATAGTCTTAACCCGACGCATATGGTTTCATAACACAGTGGCTTAATTTCTTCCAAATGTACATGGCCCTGAATGTGTTGCAGTTTGATATATGACCCCGCCCTGCTGCCCGGCCTGGGTCCGAGGCTCCAAGGCGGCCCCTATAAGTGTGAATTTCTGTTTATAAAGGGCGACGCACACGCAAACGCCTACATACCCAGGCAGACACACCCGGAGGCGGGGAGTGGGACACATATTCCAGTCGAGGTCGGAGAGAGTCTGGAGGCCAGACTCACCTTCAGTCTAAGCCAAGACACCCCCCTACCCCCACCCTCTCCCAGAGGCGCGACTGGGATTCTGCGCCAAGCCCCAGTGGGGGAGGGGATCGCTCTACGATTTCCTGTTCAAACCCTGAACCGTCGCCTGCGGGGGGGTGGGGGGATGGCAGTGGATGAAGAAGAAACCCGTTTTTATCAAATTCTTAAAAATACAGTTTGCATTCAGATCAAACCGCTTGGGCCCGAGCTGACGGTGAATTTTTTCTCCCCCCCCGCCCACAATCCCCTTCCCTTCCTTTTCTGCCCCCCCAAAATTCCCCTTTCCCAGCCAACATAAAGGCCTCTGAGGTATTCTCCCGGGGGAAGAAATGGCATTTTCTCTCCCCCTCCCCCACCCACCCCCCCAGTAGGACTTGTGTGTCGGCAGAGGCGTCTGACGAGGGGCTAATTTCGCGTTCCTTGTTTACGATCGAGAAAAGCGCTTGGCTCTCCCCAAATGGGCCCAGCCCGCCGCCTGCTCCGGCTGCCGCGCGCTCTACGGCCGCTCGGGCACTGCCCGGGGGCTGACGCCCCGGGAATCCAGCCTGCCGCAGGTCGGGACCCGGAGTCTGTGGGACCTGAAAAGGGCAAAGGGAGTGCGGAGGGACACTGGAGGGCCCGGGAGGCCCGAAAATGGGAGCCTTTCTCCTCGCGTAATGTGGGAACCGCCGACCGGGTGAGGCCTCTATTTCTCTTTCGCCTGTATTTTTTCTGCTCCTGCCCCTGTCGATGGCCGCTGATGGGGGGAACACAAGTGTCCTTTGTTCGCCCCCGAAAGAAAACCTTTTCCAGAGAAGGCCATTCAGGCCAGTGGAGATTTACCTGGAATATTAGAAGGACCCCCCTCCCACCCGAGGGGCGGGCCTGGGCGAGGCTGGGGTATTTCTCTTAATCCTAGAACGACCTCATTGAGGGTTTGGAGAGTGAGATTTGGGGGTGCTAGAGTTCGAGGTTGGCCGCTTAACAGCATCATCCTGAGGTGTCTTAATTATATAATACTTTAATTGATTTTCTGGCCCTTCCTGGCTAGAACACTGCAGGCCCCCCTTATCCTGTGCCGTTCACCCCAGACCTATCCTCACAAGACAGAGGCAAGTAGAGAAAGCATGGCAGCAGCTACTGGCCCTCCGTTTTCATTTTCCACTCCGTTCAAGGGATAAACTAGACCCCAGTGGACTCCAACACCAACTTTCTGCTTCCCAGTTACTTTCGATTTTCTTTCCCTTCTCCTTCTTTCTCTCCCTCTCTGGCATTCAAACAGAAGCACGAGAGGAGCCACCAGTGGCAATCCTCAGCTTCCTTGCAGGCCACATTCCCTGCTGATGTGGTCCTTACTGCAGGAGAGCCCTTCTGTGATTATCTAATAATAGCCAGGGTGGCTGAGAATAGAATCTGGCTCAAGGACTCCACACACCCGTGGCAGAGACACTGAATCTGTGGGTCAGGGCCTGGCAATGTTCCTTGGAGCCTCCCCCTCTGAGTCCACTCTTTGGGTACCCTTAGGCCTGCCTGCCCCCCTTACAGGGGTCTTTGTCAGCCCTGCCATCCACTGTATTTCATGTGCCAGTTCCTAAGGAGAAATGGGCAGAGTAAACCCTTTCTCTCACTGGTCGTACAGTTGTGATTCCGACAGAGAATGTGACCTTGTTTGGAGAAGGCGACCTTGTTGGTTTGGCTGTTGTGTTCTGAAACCAGGCTTGGGAGTGTTATTATTTTTATATACAGGCTCAAATGTACAGACTCAGGCTTATGCATGAATATATACAGACTCATGTTTCCTTGGTGGTTAATTGTGTTACCATGCCTATATTCGCTCAAACACCGTTTTATGTGCATGCAAAATTTTGTTAGCCCTCACTAGAGGAGAAGGGGCTCATGGAGGCACCAGACCAAGGCCCTCTGTGCATGCTCTGCTGGAAATATGTGTGCACTGGAATCGGAGTATGCGGGTTCCAGTAACCAATGGATGCCATAAAGGCTTTCTCAGACTTTACTGCTTCCGTTGCCCGAGCAGCTGGACTAGGGAAATACTAAATCCCTTCTGCTTTCTCTCCATGGCTCCTGTCAAACTCTCCCAACTTAGAAAGTATTTTACAAGGGGGAACCCAGTTGTCTTGAAATTGAGTTCTGTGGGACTCCTCACAGCGTGGTGGGCCTGTGAACAGTTCTGAGCCGTCAGGACCCTGGTGCTGGAAGCCTCACTGGCGCAATGAAGGGATCAGCGTGGTTAATAAGGCCTCTGGACCTTAAGCTGGCTGCTGGCCAGGGTGCTTGGAGAAGCTGTTTGAAAAGGCAAGCCAGAAAGGGTAGGGGTGCAGTGAATATCTGTTTCTCCCACTGCTTGCCCCAGCCAACCACTCACCCTGCCCCAGCTGGATTTGCCTGCATCCGTGGCAGCAGATTGGGAGTTCTCTAAGGTCCCCCAAATACCCAGATCTGGTTACTGGCTGAACTGTGTTTTAATCCTCGCTGCTATCTGAGCCAGGGCAATACCTGATCAGGGAGAAGGCTGGTTCAGGTAGCACAGGAGAGGATGCTAGGCCTGTGGGCCTGGATCACTGAGTATGGGCGACCGAGGCTGAGAATTAATGGGCCTCCTTTGCCAGCCTTTCTCCCTTCCAGAGGCACAAAAAGACAGAGCAGAGGGGAAATACCAATGTCGGTGGAAAACCCCATAAAAGAAAACAGGGACCAGAGTAGGGCTGGAGGGGTTTTCTGCCACTCTCTAGGTGATCGGGTTTCTCCTAAGACTCTTGTCCAGACAGGCTGCGCCAAGAGGTGTGCAGCTTTCTTCCACCTTCCTTCCGCCCTTCACAGAGGGCAGCCTCAGGCTTTCTGGGCCTTGGTCACCCCAGGCGCTGGGGTGACATTACCCCAGGACTGTTCCCTTGCCCAGCCCACCGCCTCTGCCACGGCGCCGCGGCCGCTCCTGTTTATTGTGTCTGTGAGTTGTTTACTTGTTTTGTCTGCTGCCACCCTGCGACAGAAACCCGCCAAACCAGCGAACTCACCCAGGAGAACAAAGTGCAGCGCAATCCCCGAACTCCCTCCCCTTTCCAGCAACCCCCTCCTGCCCTCACTAGCTCCTGCATTCTCTCTTTTGGAGGGGAGGAAGCAGAAATCGTCTTAAAACAGGGCAGCTGTTTATAGGGTCAGGGGAATTATGGGGACACCATAAACCTCCGGGTGTCCCTGTGGTGGAGAGTCTTCCCAGCAGCCCTCCCCTTGCCTAGGCTTTTCTTCCTTCCCCTGGTAACCACTTGGTTAAGGGGGCCACACTCACAGAGAAAATTGAGCCCACCCCCCCTCAACCCAGTCCCCCACTACCCCACTCCTTTCTGCAGGAGTTTCCCTGAGACACGAGTTGTTGGGTTTTAAATCAGGGTAATGCTGATGGATTCATAAAGCTAGATATAGCATGTCATTCTCCTCCCACACTCCCCTCTCCTCAGCCCCCCAAACTTGCAGTGAATTTAAGCAAATCCTACAAAATGAAATTGCCCCTTTGCTAAAGATCCTATATGTCTCCAATCCCGCCTCCTGCCAGGTGTAGAGTCGGATAGGCAGCTGTTTGCCTTTAAATGTGCTCCTGCCTATCAAATTTAAAAGAGTATCATTGAAGTAAGTAATATCTTCATTTCTGAAATTAATTTTCCCCTCCCAGTTCTCTCTCTTTTTGCCAGCACAGATTAAATGGTTCTTTCACATCTACAAACAATAAAGGATAAAATTATTTATAGGGAAATGAGGATGTTGTTTTATTGTTGGCATATTGTTCCAGAACATAACAACATTTTATTTTCAAGCAGGAGAAGTTAGACCATGGGGAGGAAAGTGGGGGAAGGAACAAGAACGTGAAGGGAGGGCAGGAACCCACACACAAAATTCCTGCCATGTATAACTGGCAGGACATTTACAATTTCTGTATGACAACTCACTGTGACATCATAAATATGGAGTTCGTGAATTTTATAATTCTCGTGAAATTCCCAAACGGGTCCAAGCAATATGCTTCATGTGGAGGGGTACAAAAGAAGCCAGAAGGCTGGAGATCCTTTGACCCAGCACAGAGCCCCACACCCCCTATTGCAGCTTCTTCCTCATGTGACATCCTCTTGAGGCCCTATTCAGGGCACTGAAAATAATCTGGATATTCTGGATTTTAATCTTTCTCCTAGGCCAAACAGGGTCACTTGCTTTGCCCCCCTCAAGTGTCCTTAGGCATCTAAGCTCTCTCGCCATTCCCAGCTCACAGAGAGTTGTGTCCCCAGGTTCTCCCTAAGCCCCCTCCTCAGCTGATACTCAGCTGCTTGGAATAGAGGTGGGAGGCTTGGATGCCAGGCCCCAAAAAGCCAGAAATGATTTTTTCCAGATGGAACCGGAAGGGGGCTCAGGCTGAGCGTGTTGGGGTAGAGATGTTTGGGACTTATTTTACGTTTTAACCTTAAGTCAGAGAAGTGAATTGAGAAGCCAAACAATTGCCGATGTGAGAGTTTGTGTCTGCTGATGGTACAGCAATAAGTGAAGTGCTGGTAAGGAAAGGTCAGGCAGAAATCTGGAAAGAAAGAGGACGGAGAGAAAATGTGACATGAGTCAGCGGAGCCCCTCCACATACCTTTCTTCTCTGTTTAATTGCAATAAAGCAAGAGCAGCGCGGGTAGGCTCTCAGCCTCTCCTTAGCTCAAAAGAGGAGTCGCCAGTGCAGGCCTCCTAGGTGTTTGGGGGCAGTTCTCAGCAGTTTGACATGCCCCATCTGGCCTCTTCCTCCTTTCCCCCTCCCTGCTGACCCCCAGCTCCCTTCAACTGGCCAGCCTGGGCCCTGTCCCCAAAATATAAGCACCCCCAAATGGGATCCATTTTCGTGTTAGGTGTGTCAAATTTCACTTTTCTCCATGCCTAAACTTTGAAAGGAGGAGTGTTCCTTTTAGGAATGTGGTGTGGGGGGGGCAGGGGCAGGTATGTGCTCAGACAGCTTCCCCATCATGTATCTATGGGAAACTGCAAGCCCCTTAGGTGAGCCATGCTTTGGTGTTTCCAAGCAGCATTCCCTGCATTCAGGGTCTCTGGCAGACCAGGAGGCTCTCTTTGCGATCCGATCCTTTGACTAGGAGTTCCATGGAGATCAAAGGAGCTTATTTACACACAAAACACCAGGCATTTGGAGTAGAATTTATTTTTTTTTAATTTCTAAATTAAAAATTCAAATCCTAGACCAGTCGGGCCAACTGAGCAGTCGCTCTAGAACAGCAAAGCCTTAACCAATAGTGTGATTGTGAGGGGAGCTGAGTAATTATCGAAACTCGGCTTTCTCCGTAAGAGGGATTTTAGCCCTCGCCCAGTGGCACAAAAGGGGCCAGCGGGGCAAGCGCTCTTCTCTAGCTCGGGAAAGTGAGAATTGGGGATGATGGGGGCAGGGTCGGGCAGCTGCGGTCGCGTCCAGGCAGCTGAGCACCCAGGCCAAGCGCTGAGGCTGAGCACTGAGTCCTGCGGCTCCAGTGAGTGGGTCCCTGAGCAGCCTCCGGAGGCACGGAGCTGTAGTTGCGGCGCGTCAACCAGGAATGGAGTATGTGTATCTGTGTGCGAGGCTGGGTGAGTCACAAACATCCGCGAAGAGTTGAGGGATCTGGGGAGAGAGAGGAGATCCAGAGGACACAACTAAGGAGGACCTCTGGAAAATATTGTCCACAAATAAAAATTCCAGATCTCATCCCACTCACTTCAAATATCCCCCCCCAAGACATTAATATATTTCCCAGAGCTGAGTGGGGAAAAGCCAGCAAGGTGAGGCCTGCCCATGAACCTCTCCAGGCTGGGTCCAGTCCCACCCACCCTTCCCCAGTTCAGAGCTCACAGGCCCCCCAGCCTTTCCCTGGCCTAAAGTAAGGCTGAAATGGGAGCTTTCAACTTGCTCAGGGAAATCCCCAAGTGCCCAGGCTGCAATGCCACCCTTATCCTTGGGGACTCCAGGCCAGTGACTCTACTCCACTCAGGTCCAAGGCGCAGGCAGTAAATTTCTCTCCTATAATTAGCACTATCAAAAGCATGTGTTTTGCGTGCGGGAGGACTGGAGAAGCAAGTGGCAACTTTCCCCTTATATTCTTTTTCTGTGTTTTTTAAATTCTGTTTTTGAATCCGCTAATTAAAGCTCCTCCGAAAGTGAAAATCTGCTGTTGACACCAAGCCCCTTCCGAATGCTTGATTCGGGAGGCCAAGGGGCCAGAGCAGGAGCAAGGAGACCTTCCAGCCTGATGGGGTTGGGGGGTAGTGTTTTCTGATTTCTCTAGGCTCGTTTTATAGAAACAAAGAACAAGTTCTCTCCCCTCCTTCCCAAGACTTGTGCATATTTACAGAGCACAACTGCAGTTTTAATAAAACATCTGTTCTTGCTTCTGCTGATGAGTTTCCATAATTGTTTTCAGACAAATTTAACAGGAAAATATAAATATATTTAGAAAAATCTAAGTACCAGCTTTCTCCCTATTGACAGCCCTTCTTTCGCCAAAAAATAAAATTAGCATGAAATGGGAAAAGGAAAATATAATCCAATGTAGGGAAGATAGGGTTCATCTGTCTGCTCTCCCCACTTGGAGCGAATCCTTTCAGCAAATTTCAGTGCATAATTAAAGATCTAACTGAAAGAAGAGGGCTTCTTTCCTCGGGATCAAAAGGTAATGTAGGGGGAGTGTGCTGAAAATTAATTTTGCCAAAAGTCTTTAAGCAGTGGAAGAATTTATTTGTATTTGTTTCCCCTTCTCTCCCCCTTCCAGCATTTCTGCCTTTTTCACCCAGCAGCTGGTTTCTGTTCATTATAAATCGGCGAGACCTTTCAGTCTCTGCCCTCTGTTTAGGGACGTCATAAAACACTTAACTTTCCGGGACTGAGGCTCACATTCTGCCTCTCAGGTCACCAGCCCCCCTCAGCCCACTGCCTTTAGGCCCCAATAGAGAATCTCCCCAACTTTGGGGCCCTTTTCTCTCCAGACATGGTAGAGGAGGGGCTCAAGGAAACCTAGGCATCCTCGCTCGGAGGCTGTAGTCCATACTGCCCCAAAAGCCCCTTCTTCCTTCCAAGGTCCTTCCCTCCCCCACCTAGCCATAAAAGAAATTTTTAAATACATAGAAAATCAACACTCATTGAAAGCGAAACCTCATTAAGACATCCTATCTTCCATCATTCAATTTGTTGTACATTGCAACAATTTAATATCTTGAAGGAAATATCACTGACATGATTTATCCCTCTAGCAATCTCTCTCTCTCTCTCTCTCTGAAATGGGGGGGGCAAGGATTTACTCTCTCTTCCCGCTTCTTCTACTTGTTACACCACTGCCCTCAGGGCAGAAAGGAGGCTGGGAACTCTGAGAGAGGCTGCTTGTGTCCAAGGGTGCACCGACTTGTTCCCTAGCTCATCCCTCAGAGTACTCCCGCTGCTGTCTCTCCCCCACCTCTTGCCCTCCAGGGGGCCTGAAGCCTCAGCCAGCTGTTGGAAACCTCTGCTCAGGCATGCCATGAATTTGAGGACAGCTGGATTCTAGGGCAAAAAGCAACTCACATTGGTGTCTATGTTTGTGTACCTGCCAAGTCACCCCAAAATGAGATAACTCATCTCAAACATTTTTTCTTCATTTAAAAATCCTCTACCCTTTCCCCTTCATTTCCTTGGGGAGAAGAAAGTGTGGTCTTCGAAGAGGAACCTTTATAATTATAGGAGTCTTTCCCCAACCCTTCCAAATACCAACAAATTTCCATCCTTTCTGGAGGATTGGGGCTGTATTTCTAAAAACCAACACAAATTGTCTGGCAGGAAGACTCTTCAACCTCCTAACGAGGCTCATGTATTAACTAACATGTTTTCTCCACCAGCTCCTGCACACTGTCTGCTTTTGGGTTCAAAACTTTATTTTTTTCCCCCTAGTGACACTCCAGGGAAACCTTAACGTTACAGAAGATGAATAAACGAGTTTTTTCCCAGCGTAGTCCCGTTTATGGCTTTATTGCTACCCATTGATTACTCCGCTTTGTTACACAGAAGGAAAAGATCATAAAATCCAGCGACATCCGGGTTCTTGGGTTCTTGTTATAGCCAGTCCCCCCCCACCCACCCAAAAATGGTGGGGGAAAATATGAGCTTTCACTGCTCCCTGCGCACTCCCCATCACCCCTCTTTGTCAACTCAAAGCATTTTCAGCCTATATCACGATATCAAATTAAGTTTGGACTAATCAGGAGAAAACCCCCATCTGCACACTTTGCGCTGCTTCAGTTCGTTACTGCGGCTCCCTCACAAGCCTCGGATTTAGCTGCCTTTTCATAACAGTCTCTTCCTTCCCCCCACCCAAGGTGGGAAAAAATGGGGGTTGAGGCTGTTGGGAGGCCCATCCCCACCAGGGGTAACGGGCACTTGGGCTAGCTAGAGCTCCCTAGAACCCCTTTCTGAATTCTTCAAGCCACATAGCTCAGGTCCAGGGGTGCCTCCACTGGCAGTGCCCTGAGTCTGGAGGGGGCAGGGGGCTTCTGACCCTTGCAGGGGCTTGAGCCTGCAGGAAGCTAACTGTCCATCAGAGCCCCAGCAGCCTTCTCATTCTGGCTGGATCCTATGTGAATTAACCCACCGGCCCTCTCTGGCTCCAAATCATAAATTCTCACCAACATAAACAGGAGTTGATGTCTCTAGAAAGATTCTCAGAGTTTTCGTTCTTCTCCCTTTCTCTCTCTCTCTCTCTGTCTCTCTCCACTCCGGTTCCACCTCCCTACATTTTGCTTCTTTTTCTCCCTTTTCTATTGGATTTTTATACATTTTCCCTTTTAGGTAAAAATGCTGGAAGAGTTTTCCCAAAAGAGGGGTCCTGAGGAGGAGGCAGAAGGGGGCCAGGAGGCAGAGGAGAGCAGATGCATGGCCCCTTTGCCCACTTAAGCTCTGCCACTGTACCCTGAAGTTTTACCCCTTTAGACCTAGCTCTTCCCCACATCCCTCCTGCATTCAAGAGTCTCAGCCACACTCTACTTACTCAGGGGAACAGGTTCAAGGAAATTTCTTTCTACTTTTGATTGTTTTAATTATTGGAGACAAAAGTACTAGTTTAGTGATGGGACTCACTCCATGAACCATCAAACCAGGATTTCCTGCAGGATTTCTGGGGACCTCCTACTGAGCTGGGAGGGAGTTCCTCCCATGGAGAAATCAGGATGTAATTTTAGAAGGGGACAGATATAAAAGATGAAACCAGATTGAAAATACAGGGATTTCTCTAGCCCTGGTTCTGGCCACAACACAGCAAAGTTAGCTGGGGCTGAGAGCTTTCCCGGGAGCACAGCTCTCGTTCCCTGAGTCCCAAGGCCCTGCTCAGGGACATGCACCCCTCCTTCACCACCAAACCAGTTCCCTTATATATATATATTTAAAAGAAATCCAAGTCTTACTTTCAAAGCACACACTTAGTCTCAACTAGGGAATCAACAGAAGCAGAAGCGATTTTTTTCCCCCTTCTTGACATCTGGCTTGCGATTGGCTGGGAGGGGGTCAGCTGACTTTGTCATTTTGTCTGTCCTGGATTGGAGCCGTCCCTATAACCATCTAGTTCCGAGTACAAACTGGAGACAGAAATAAATATTAAAGAAATCATAGCCCGACCAGGTAAAGGCAAAGGGATGAATTCCTACTTCACTAACCCTTCCTTATCCTGCCACCTCGCCGGGGGCCAGGACGTCCTCCCCAACGTCGCCCTCAATTCCACCGCCTATGATCCAGTGAGGCATTTCTCGACCTATGGAGCGGCCGTTGCCCAGAACCGGATCTACTCGACTCCCTTTTATTCGCCACAGGAGAATGTCGTGTTCAGTTCCAGCCGGGGGCCGTATGACTATGGATCTAATTCCTTTTACCAGGAGAAAGACATGCTCTCAAACTGCAGACAAAACACCTTAGGACATAACACACAGACCTCAATCGCTCAGGATTTTAGTTCTGAGCAGGGCAGGACTGCGCCCCAGGACCAGAAAGCCAGTATCCAGATTTACCCCTGGATGCAGCGAATGAATTCGCACAGTGGTGAGTTTTACAGCTCCGAGATATAAATTAAATAAACTGAACTGGCTTTATGACCGGCTTCCCTAGAAGAACGGGCGGAGAGAGTTTTTTATGGCCCCATAAAAACAATCACGCTCGTCTCCTCACCGAGACAGGGCCCCCTCTTCTGCCCTCTCAGCTAGCCTCCCGCTCTGCTTGCAGGGGCCTGGCCCCCTTGGCCCCTGACGGATTGGAGGGCTCCCAGGCGAGCTGAGGGGGCAGGAACAGGGCAGGGGATAAGGGAGGGAGCAGATGGGGGAGCCCCCCAAAGTGGAGTCAGGCTGAGAAGGGAGGGGGAGAGGAGAGGCAGAAAAGTGGGGAGAAGTTTCCAAGGCGCTAGGATGCTTGGGGAGATGGGAGAGCCCAGTCCTTGAGAAAGGGGGACCTCATCCCCATTATTTGGGATTTTTCAAAAATCAGCTTTTAGACTTGCAGCTTTCTGTTTGCCTTTTGCCCCGCCCCCCAACCCACCCCACACACCTTTCTTTGGGACACACACTTCCCACCTTATGGGAGGTCTGAATGAAGTTGGGGTCCTGGCGGTACCCCCAGTGGGGGTGGGGCAAGGCAAAAGGGAGAAGGCTCGAGCCCTGGGGGGCTGTGAGCTGCTGGCCAGGTTGAGAGGGTGAGGACTTTGCTAGGGAAAATAGTCTGCGGAGGACGCCTTGCTGATTGTTTTTAGTGTGTTTTGTGCCCGGATCTTTAGGGGTCGGCTACGGAGCGGACCGGAGGCGCGGCCGCCAGATCTACTCCCGGTACCAGACCCTGGAACTGGAGAAAGAATTTCACTTCAATCGCTACCTAACGCGGCGCCGGCGCATCGAGATCGCCAACGCGCTCTGCCTGACCGAGCGACAGATCAAAATCTGGTTCCAGAACCGCCGAATGAAGTGGAAAAAAGAATCTAATCTCACGTCCACTCTCTCGGGGGGCGGCGGAGGAGCCACCGCCGACAGCCTGGGCGGAAAAGAGGAAAAGCGGGAAGAAACAGAAGAGGAGAAGCAGAAAGAGTGACCAGGACTGTTCCTGCCACCACTCCCCCTTTCTCCCTCGCTCCCCACCCCAACTCTCCCCTAATCACACACTCTGTATTTATCACTGGCACAACTGATGTGTTTTGAGTCCCTAAAACAAAATTAGGGAGTCGAACGTGGACCTGAAAGTCAGCTCTGGACCCCCTCCCTTACCGCACAACTCTCTTTCACCACGCGCCTCCTCCTCCTCCTCGATCCCTTGCTAGCTCGTTCTCGGCTTGTCTGCAGGTCCCTTTCCCCGCCCAGGCCTTGGGACTCGGTCCCCGAACTCAGACTCTACAGATTGCCCTCCAAGTGAGGACTTGGCTCCCCCCATTCCCGACCCCCGTGCAGAGGGCCGGCTCCCGGGCCTGGGGCCTCTGCTCCCGGGCCTCAGGGCCCAGCCTGGCAGCCGGGGAGGGCCGGAGGCCCAAGGAGGGCACGCCTTGGTCCCACACCGACCCCCAGGGCCTCCCCGCAGTCCCTGCCCAGCCCCTCTGCCCCAGCAAATGCCCAGCCTAGGCAAATTGTATTTAAAGAATCCTGGGGGTCATTATGGCATTTTACAAACTGTGACCGTTTCTGTGTGAATACTTTTAGCTGTATTTGTGGTCTCTGTATTTATATTTATGTTTAGCACCGTCAGTGTTCCTATCCCATTTCAAAAAGGAAAAAAAAAAAAGAGGGAAAATTACAAAAAGAGAGAGAAAAAAAGTGAATGACGTTTGTTTAGCCAGTAGGAGAAAATAAATAAATAAATAAATCCCCTCGTGTTACCCTCCTGTATAAATCCAACCTCTGGATCCGTTCTCGAATATTTAATAAAACTGATATTATTTTTAAAAGTTTATACCGGGAAATCTGTTCATTCGCTCGCCCGCCGGCCTCAGGGTGAGAGCTAGAGCAGGCTCCAAGCGCTCCCGCGCCTCCTCGCCGCCTGCAAGCCCCCAGTCCTCAGCACTGGCCACCCCCGGAGCCAGGCGCCTGGCCCCGGCCTCCTGTCGGTTCTCGCGATCGCACTGACAGGCTGGGAGGCCTCTCTGCGCTCCCTGCGCTGAGCAACACACACACACCCTGCGAAAAAAGGCCGCGTAGGATTTTGTTGCGGGGGGGGGGGGGAACGGGATCAATCGGCTTGGGCACTAGCCCCACGCAGGCCTTTCTTCCTGCCTGTGGCAGCGGGGGTCCTCAGCGTCCGAACCCCGAGGCGCCCCGAAAGACCAGTGAAGAAGCACTATCCAGGCACCAGGGTCGCCTCCGTCCACTCCCGGGAGTTGGAGGCCGGGGGCGCGGTGAGAGGAAGCCCCAGACCCGCGCCAGGCTGGCTGTTGCGAAACGTGGCGGAGGCGGAGAGCGGAGAGAAAGAGAAGACCGAGGGACTGGAGCCCTGTCGGCAGGCAGGGATTGAGTGATTCAAGGACATCTCGAAAGAGAAAGCCTGGAAACTGAGCTCCGCCTGATCTGGGACTCCTGACGTGGCCGGGACAAAATTCCTCCTTCATTACAGCTCCAGCCGAGCTGGTTCCTGACTCTTCTCTCCTCTAACAGGCAAAGAGGCGGGTGAGGAGTGCAGCCGGACCCTAACTATTTATCAGCCCTGGCCTTCTCTCCCCAAGCCTGGCCAGAGAAACCTGAGTGGGCCTACCGGGAGAGGTGTTGAGGGGGAGTCTCCGGAGGGAAAAAAATCCGCCAGAGTTTTCCAGACCTTTCAATTCCCTCCAGCGCCCTCCACCCCTCTCCTCTAGTCCCTCCACCAGTGAAGAGGGGGCCGTCTCCTTGCAGGGGCGGAGATTTCCTGGGAAGAAGCAGGCAAGAAAGTCTGAGCCTTGGGGCTACAGGGGGAAAGGAAGGGTCCGAATGGCTGCAGACACCCTGCGAAGGCTGCCCAGGCGCCTGCCCTGCCCACCCCCAGGTCCGCCTCATTCCTCCTAGTAGCTCAGAAATTGCTCTCCTGGAACTTACGGATTCAGGTCCCTGGAAAGGCTGGCCCAGAGACCTTTTCCCCAAAGGGCACAAAACAGGCCTTTTCCTCTGCCGTGCTCACGTAATATTTGTGGAGGCTTGAATCTCCTTTCTCCATGCCCTCAATATAGACATCTATTTTCTGTCTAAAACCTCTGGCGTAGGTACCACATAAGGATCCCACGCAGGGAGACAGAGCAGTCCTCTAGACCATCGTCTGGCTCTATCCGTGTACACAGACACACTTGAAAATTGCCTTATTGCCACTCTGGGGACTCTAGCATGGTGAGTTCTAGCCAACTCCACCTGGCTCCTCACCTCCAGATCCATCTCTGACGGCCCGCAGCACCCTCAGCCTCATGACCCCCCATCTTGTTCTAACCACTCAGGATCCCTCCTCCTGGGCGTCTTGTGTACCTCTCTAGAGGTGAATTCTACTTTCGCATGATGGGCAAAAGTGGTGGGGCTTTAGGGCGTGCGAGGCAAGGGACTTCTACCTTTGGTTTAGGGAACCTAAGCTAAACTCCATTGGTTCTCCAGTCTGGGCATGGGCCGCCCTACCTAACTAAATCCCTTTTCCTCATTTTCTAAGATTGGAAGACCATGAAGGTTGGGAGAACGGGCTATCCGTTACAAAAAGCACTCTGTGCACAATAAGTGGCACCTCATCTTTCCCAATTTTAAATAGAATTTTAAAAGCTAGCTCAGGGGTTGCCCTAACAGCCAGCTTCTCCTTACAGGGTAGGAAATCCAGCCACCAGAAAGCGAGCGGGCGCTCCAGGATGCAATTCCCCGATATAGGCACCAGGTGTCGCTGTGGGCTTGTTGTCCCGGCTACCCCCAATTCCAAGAACAATTTTTTTTCCTCCCCCCTTCCCTCTCTCTCTCTCTCACTCCCTCTCCCCCTTGGTTGGGCTTTGCCAACATATCGAGATGCGTTTCGCCGGCTTCCATCACTAACCTCCCGGAGGTCATCAAGCCAAATTTATGAGTGGCCGCTTGAATCACGTGACTCTATTTAAGGCTCCCTTATTTGGGAAGAGCGCATAGGATAAAGAAAGAGATATCTCCACCTATAAATTGTGCACTTTGGAGAACAAAAAACCCCTCAACTTCAAAGACTCACAAATCACCCTTAATCAAAAAGGGTGCAGAAATTTTTTTGGGCCCTCCCCGCCATGAGCTCCTACGTAGCCAATTCATTCTATAAGCAGAGCCCCAATATCCCTGCCTATAACATGCAAACTTGTGGGAACTATGGATCGGCCTCAGAGGTGCAGGCATCCAGGTACTGCTACGGCGGATTGGACTTAAGCATCACTTTCCCACCGCCTGCGCCTTCCAACTCTCTCCACGGGGTAGACATGGCTGCCAACCCCCGGGCTCACCCCGACCGCCCCGCCTGCAGCGCCACGGCCGCTCCGGGACACGCTCTGGGCAGAGACGAAGCGGCTCCTCTGAACCCCGGGATGTACAGTCAGAAGGCGGCTCGCCCGGCGCTGGAGGAGCGAGCTAAGAGCAGTGGGGAGATCAAAGAGGAGCAGGCGCAGACAGGGCAGCCCGCCGGACTGAGCCAGCCACCGGCCCCGCCACAGATTTACCCGTGGATGACCAAACTGCACATGAGCCACGGTAAACTTTAGGACTTCATTTTGCGCGCTCGGGTCCGCCTGGGTTTTATAGGCCATGCGGGGCAAATAAAGAAAAAAAACCTGCGGCCATAAATTTTACGATCCAGGCATCAATGGCTCGTAAAACTGTCCACTAAAAGGCTTAGAGGCTGTGTGCGCCCAAATTTACGACGACATAATTGGATCATAGGAACAAAACGTGTATAAAAGGCAATATTCAATTTTTGGGGGAGAGGGAGGGAGTTAAAAAAATAGAGGGATCTGAAGGGTGAGGCGCGCGGGGCTCCAGAGCGGGGATCCCCCCGCGGCTCCCTCCCTCCCTCCCCTGCGGAGCCGGCTCTGCCGGCGCTCGCGGCTCCGGAGGATTCCAGCGACTCGGGAGGGGCGGGAGGGGGGTCCCCGGTGCTCGGATCTCGAGGGTGCTTATTGTTCGGTCCGAGCCTGGGTCTCCCTCTTCCCCCCAACCCCCCCTCAGCCCCTCCGGCTGCAGAGTGAAGGCTGCGGTGGAAAGTTTCCTGCCTGGGCGGAGGCGCCTCTCCCGGGGTTGGGCTGGGCCGGGCCGGCCCGCCTGCGGCCCGCCGGGCCTGTCTTGCGGCTCTCGCCTCTCTTCCTCCGGCCGCGGGTGGGGGCCTGGGGCTGGAGTGGAAAGGGGGAAAACGCTGCACGCTATTCACCCCTTCCTGGCTTGGGGTGGGGTTTATGTTCCAGAGACAGACGGCAAGCGGTCCCGAACCAGTTACACGCGCTACCAGACTCTGGAACTCGAGAAAGAATTCCACTTTAACCGCTACCTCACTCGCCGCAGGCGCATAGAGATCGCCAACAACTTGTGTCTCAATGAGAGACAGATCAAGATCTGGTTCCAGAACCGCAGGATGAAGTGGAAGAAAGATTCCAAAATGAAAAGCAAAGATGCTCTTTAGAGGCAGCGGGGGAGGCCCGCAGAGAGCGCCCTAGCCGGCTCCGGTCCCTGCGCCTTTCCTTTTCGCCTTTCCTCTCTCTATATTTCGGGGCGGGGGCAGATGCTGGAGCACTGGGCTCCCGGGCCTCATAGACAAAAGCGCTTTTCCTTGGCATTCCGCATCCCCACCGACCCAGGGTTTCCTCGGGGCTGCCCGCGCTGCCCCGTCTCCCCTCAGCTCAGCTCAGCTCCGTACCCGGGGCCCAGGACAAGCTCCGCAAGGCTTCCCCGGAAGGCTGCGGCGTACAGGCTGACGCTGAACGAACCTTGGCCTGGGCCATCTCTCCCGGCTCCCAGCCCCAGCGCGGCCCTCCCGAGTTAAGGTGGACCCGGCCAGCGCCACAGGACCCTCGCCCGACCCTCCAGCTTCTCCCTCTCCTTTGTTCCTGGCTGGGCGGGTTAGGCAGCCGCAGGCTGGCGAGAGTCTGGCCGCAGACTCGGGGTGCTTCCTTGTAGCAACTAAACTAGATTTTCACTTATTAATGATTGGCAGGTCAAAGAAGAACTGAATATCGGCCTAGGGCCCCCTCGGTTGCTCTATGTACTCCAAACCTTATTCCCACAACCGCACCCTCCCAAAACCCGGAAACCTCCCCAGCCTGTGCCTGCTGCATGCCCTCTCAGGCCGGCAGCCCCAGCCTGCTAGCTAGCTCAACTTTTGGGGTTTCCTGACACTGGACCCCAGCAAGTGGTCCTAGAGACCCTTTGCTGTCCCATAGTCCCTGCCACGACTTTCTGTGCCCTCCTGACCCATTGCTATTGTCCAACTATTTATTGACTCTGGGTCCTTCCTGAAACTATATTTTGTCATATCAAATAAAGATGAAGAGAGAACAGGACTAAAGATGCAGTGGCTCCTGTCTGTTTGGGGCATGTATTGGGTAAAATTGCCTAAATGGGCTGTGAGGTGTAGAAGGAGACCTACAACCTTTAAACCTCCCCTTTAAAAAAAATTTTAGCTTCTAGGGGCAGTGTGTAGAGAGAGATGAAATCGAGTTTTTTCCTGACCCTTGGCTCCAAGGAGAGCCTCTGGAGGAAGAGGAGGGCACCTAGGCCTCGGGTACTGGCTTTTCCTGTGCTATGGCTGTTCAAGGCTTCAGGCCTCTGCACTCCATGAGGCCTCTGGACTGGCAGCAGCCCCCACTGTATGCCAAAGCTCCTCTGCAGGGACCAGTGGCTCTGCCACTGTGCTCAGCCTCAGGCCCTTCTGGGCCTCTGAAGATCTTTTCTGGGCGTAAGTGGTCCCTGAGAGGCCTTGCTAGACATAGAGGGAGAGGGACCCATTTGGTCCCAGAA